AATACCCATTGTTCGAAGTCTTCTGAATCGGTTTGCAAAGGGAGAAAAGCAGGAGAGCTTAATCTGTGAACTTCTAAACCGGCATGAGCATGACCTTGATGAGGAAAAGGCTCAATATGCTGCACTTGTCGTCTCCGAGTTCATAGACCTCAACAATACGCCCTTGGTCACCCAAGCCATCGCTCGCCTACTTAAGGTGGTCGAGATTGGAACCCTCCCCTTATCTCATCGGGTTATGGCCGGTCGCTATCTCTCACTATTTGGAGATCCGCGCGATCTGACAGAGTTGGTCGCAGTTACAGAAGGAACAGGCCTTTTTGGATCGTCCAATCATCCTAACTCCAGGCCTGTTCACAGGCTTCATATTGACCCCTTCAAAATCGGCGCGTTTCCAGTTGTGAACCAAGACTATGGAGAGTTTGTACAGCAGACAGGTCGGACTTGGCTGAGCCAAGATGGCTATGATCCCTGTTCGCGGAACACACCAGCAACAGATCTCACATGGCATGACGCCAGAGCATACTGCCAATGGGTCACGCAGAAATGGAGGAAGGCAGGTAAAATAGATCCTAACGAGACTGTACAACTGCCGTCAGAACCCCAGTGGGAGAGAGCATCTAGGGGAGATCAGCGCGAATCACAGGCAGGACAGAACATCTACCCATGGGGCACCAATTTCGCAACGAGTCTATCAAATTGCGAAGAACTAGGACTGAACAATAAATGTGCTGTCGGTCTGTTTCCCCATTCCCGCTCACCCTTTGGTTGCTACGACATGACAGGACAAGTATGGGAATGGTGCACAACCTTATGGGGAGAGGACATGGCGACGCCAACGTACATGTACCCGTGGAAAAGCTCAGATGGCCGTGAGGATCTAGATGCGGACGGTTCAATCAGGAGAGTTTTGCGAGGAGGGTGCTTTTCGAGTGGCCAAGCTAAGGCGACGTGCACGTATCGTGGGAGTCTTGAGCCGACTGGATTTTGGCGGGGTAATGGGTTCCGCGTGGTGGTCGTATCTGAATAAAACAGATAACGCTAGAGAGGAAATATGAGTCAGGTCGTGGTGTAATAATCCATGGGTCCGATGACACCATCGCCTTGATCTCCACCTACTTGGAAGGATAAATAGCCCGCACGAATTGCACGCAGGACATATACTTGTATAAAAAATAGCTGAAATCATGCCGATCCTTAACGATGTCCAGTTGTCGAGTCCCAAGGACCTAGTTCCTCTTGCCACAGGTGACGAGCCAATTTATGTCATTCTCACCAGTTCCAACGATGAGGAAACCGGGGCACCGTGGTGCTCAGATGTTCGAGCTGCCTTGCCATTACTGAAAGAGACCTTTGATAAGCCGGACGGGCCCAAGGCTATTTATGAAAGTGTCGGTCCCCGGCCTGGGTGGGTGATTCATATAGTCAATTGGAGAGTGTTGGCTGACAATTCTACAGGTGGAAGAAGCCGGATAACCCACACAAGCTCACGTGGAACATATCGGCTATTCCAACTGTTATTAGATTCGAACCTCGCGATGGAAGGATAGAAGAGACGGGTAGGCTTGTGGAGGCCGAGGTTTATGAAGAGGGAAGATTGCAAAACTTCGTGTTGAAGTCTGAGTAGACAGGTAGCGACGGGAATTTGGACAGACATTGCTGTCACTTAAAGTGTAAAAGTATGATAGTTTGCATGAGACATACTTAGTGAGCGTGGAAAAGGGATAAGCTGTACAAGTTATGGGAATTTCCCCTGGCAATTCATTTCAATTGCTATCCGTGAAGTATGCCTGTTGATTATACATCCGGTCTTGATAAGCAATCGACTTATACATAATCCTTTGTCTGTTGATCACACCAATCCCAGAAGTCCGCTGCAATTCCACTACCACCATGCTCTTTCGTCTTCAAGCTCTGGACAAGATCCTTCCTCGGGCTCGGGTGCCATCTTCCCCAAGGAATACCATACCTACCACCATCCTCAAGCTTAACCTCAGTGCTAACCCCAGCCCATAGTTCAGAGTAAGCCCCTCGCTTAGGCGGATGCAGGAAGACTTTGTTCGGTACCCTGAGATGCCACGGCACGCGATCCCAGATATTGGTTGACAGGTTTCCAGGGTTCTGGCAAATGCAAACAATACCACCTGAACGCACACGCCGGTCGAATTCTGAGGCGAGGAACCAGTTTGCTGTTTTGGAAATGGTGTAGTTGTGTGTTGGGTCTTTGGAATGTTTGCCGGGAGTAAGCTCGGCCAGCGAAATGCCTCCAGGAGGGGCCATCATGTCCATTACACCTGATCCTGTGAATATGACTCTTGTTGAGGGACCAGGGTTCCTGCTAGCTGTTTGCTTCAACACGGGGAGCAGGAGCTTTGTGAGCAGGAATGGTGCCAAGCAGTTTATTCCCATTTGTGGCTCGTATCCTTGGGCAGTAACTTCGTGCGAGGGCGCAGCGCTAATACCCGCGTTGTTCCATAACACGTCGAGACGCGTCTCCTGCGCAAGAAAGGCAGAGGCACAGGCTGCCACAGAGGTAAGATCGTTGAGATCGATGTGAAGTGTTTTGAGATTGCCAGTACTCTCTGGGTATGCGGCTTTGATGGTGTCGATAGTCTTTTGTGCTTTGGTGGCGGATCGCGCTGGAAGGTAGACTGTGCCTCCTTTGGAGTACAGCATATGGACTAGCTCTAGGCCAACACCATTAGTTCCCCCAGTCACCATGAAAACTCTGCCTTCTAGTGAAGGAACATTATCCTCGGTGAAAGTAGGCTTGGGTGGGAATAGTTGCGTCCAGGCAGCTTGCATGATGCCGGGTTAAAAGATAGTGACAGAACGTCGGGTACAAGTAAAATGATGCTGAGAACGTGTCTTGGACAATATTTTGTTTTGGGGAAGAAATGCCATTATTATTCTTATATATGACTACGTTTCAGCTTATCAATCCAATGTTGTCATTTCCTTCATAGAGTCTGACACCCTGGTCATTCCGACTGTCAGATTGAAGCAGCCGAGAGAAATTGTGGTCAGAAATCATTGCCTTGCAACATGGCTCTTTCACAAGCACCAGATAATCGAAAAGACCGTGCAATTAGTTTTACCGATGGGAAATTAATCGTTAGCTTTGCAGAGACGCCAGAGTTAAAGGCCTTTCTCCCCGCTGAGACCTCCAGAAGTTAGTCGTCTGAAGTATCCCACTATCCATCAAAAACCACCACCGCTTCGCAAAGCTTTCGCCAACCTCCCATCCCATCGGGTCCCACGGTACTGTCCCCCATACCTTGAGGCTTCCATACTGCATATCACGCGCAAACTCTTCTTCGTTAATAATAGAGAGAGACTTGAGCAGTTTGTCCCGCAATGATGCCCAGGGCAGCATGTCCAGGTACGAAAGGTGAGGGACGCTCTTCTGTAATTGAGTAGGCGCTATATTAGATGGAAGACTGTCGGCCAAGGCTCTAATATTGAAGCCTGGTATTCGCTGGCAGTCTAGGTCGAGACGCTGGGCTATGACGGCTAGAGCGGTGGCGGCGGTCAGGTCGGTCAAGATGAGGTAATGACTGTCCATTGTGGGCTGCTCGGATGTGTATTGGGTATGAAAGAGGTTTGCATCGAACATTTCTGTGACAGTCACGCTTGAACCCCCGGTAGATGATTGCTCAGGACTAGAAGCTGCACCTCTTCTCACAAGGGCTCCGGCGTCCTCATTAACCTCATACTGTGCCTCTCGCTTCTGTTTACCGGCAAGTCGTGACCCTGGAACAAATCAGTCAAGCCATTTCGCGTAGGCGCGTTATTGTACTACATACGCCTGGCTCTTTGGGACAGCCTGTTCTGGATCCGCTTTCGCTGGGCGGGGTCCGGTACAGCAGTCCAATCATCTTCAGTAGACTTTACAAATTGCTCCCAGTTGGGCTTCATGATGGATAAACCGCTTTGGTCAGGGCACTGCTGAGAGAACGCTAATGTGAAAGAAAAAGCTGACGAATTCGGTTGAGAAAAGATGACAGAGCGCTGCTGATATTGTCAACTTTCTGACAGTCAGACTTGTCAGACTGCATAACCGAGATGAGTAGTCCAATCACAAGCCGGACTAGTCTATATAGAGTTAGACCAACTATTCTGATACTGGTCAGCCGCCAAGTACTGCCTGGCTACAGTTATACGATGACATTAACGCGTACAGGCCCAAGGAAACATCCATTGATATGTCTAGTTCTTGACGTATCTTGGAGCCACTAACCATCGATTAGCTCATATCCGTGATGCCCACCCAGTATGGTATTTATCAGCGTCTCATTTGGAATGACACGACGTGGCAGAAGCTCGTTTCCTCCATATTTTGGGGCATAAATGGGAGTCTGGTGTAGTATATCCCATTACTTTTGAACCAGAGCTGAGATACTTGGGGCGCTTAGGTCAGCCTGCGACAGCAATAAAGCCGTATGGGGGGTATAGTTGTCCGATTAGCTCCGAGAGTATGCTATCTCCAATCTTTTCATGAGCCTGCTCCCCGAAAGTATTTGTAGTAAAAAAGCAGCAAGTTATACTTCTCAATATCTAAAGTTTTAAGACCTGGTCTTTATACCCCTATTCTCCTTTCTCCTCTTGAGTTCTGCGCCCTAGAACTTGAATCAATATAGAGAACTTAATTGCCTTGACCTGTTTAATCCTACTGGTCTCTCCATCGGTAAGTAAGCAAGAGTGGCTTGTTCGTCTCGGGTCCGAGATAGCAGCCTGCCACTGTCAATCTTACGAGAGTCCTATCTGCCACTACTGCACAGTCGCATAACAGCAATTCACAGTGGTATGGCAGCTGCACTGCGGATAGACACTGGCAGATCATCTTTTCTCATTTCATTCCCTTTCAGCTGCCTCCAAAACCGCTCTCTTCCCTTCAATCAACATTGCTCTCTCGCTTCCTTTCTACATAGCACGCGGTCCTGGACATAAGCAACCTCGAAACCTACCTTACTCCTCAAGCAACAACGGACCGTCACCTCAATATGGCTACCGACTCTACTAATCACGCTGATGTTCCCAAGGAACAGTCGATTCCCGACGACAAGACTACTCCTGAAGCTGCCGAGCACTCATCTGCAGAGGTTAACAATAACAAAAACGACAGAACCGTTGATGTGAAGAAGAACCGGCGCAAGGTATGGGTTGAGCATTACGACAAGCTCTCCAACACCACTCCAGACGAATTCCTCGCCAAGAACCCTCATCTCAGTAAGTCGATACGTCCCCGCCTACGAGACTTTGCTAACAATTACAAGAGGGTATTCCCACTACCATGAAGCTTCCATCCGAGGCCCACGAGTACATGGGTAAGGTGAAGGATGATGATTTGGCATACCTGGACCACTACTGCGACGATGCGAAGCTATCAGAACACGACCTCCTAGAGCTGGGGGCCAGGGGAATGTTTCCGTAGGAGCACGCGTCATCGAGGGTTCATGGGTTTTGGGAGGTTGATGATCGTCTCGGATTTCGCGAGAGCAAGCTACAGTACTGTGGCTGAACGGATTTCGTGAGATGACTGGCTAAGCCAGAACCTGCAGACGAGGTTGAAAGACGGAAAGGATCTCTCTAGTAGAATATGACCAAAGAAGAGACGTCTATACTAAAGGCGATTTCTAATTAACAAACTCGTAAGACAATCTCCCAGCCGTTCGTACATGAGCATCTTAAGGTAGAGTTCGACTGTGTTATTTTCAGTAACATTAACGCCAGGCTTGAATGTACTTGCTAATATATGATATGAGTTCATGAACACTGTTGAACACGGTTACAGTTCCATTTTCAATGTTCAAGTGCTCTGTATCGATGAGCCGCCCCAATTGATAGTGATTAATGTACTTGGCTGACTGTCCTCTATTACCGACCTGTGGCTGAGAGCCTAATCCAGCTGAGAGAACCTAGTCCTTCATTTCTGTGGCTTATGCGTAGAACTTCTTTTCCCTGTGACTTTGGACATGACTTCGTCTTTCTCTCGGCGCTTCCATTGCGTTCTAGAACCTGGGAAATAATTAATCCCCACCTTGTTTTACATTTGTAGTTGAGCTCATCTGGTCCCGGCCGCATGCCGACCCATTATATCACCTAGCTTTTCCAGACTTTTCGTCGACCGTCTTCTCTAGCTCTCTGTTATCGACGAAGTCTCTCTCATCCCCTTCTAATGGGAACATGGTGTTCTACAAGGGTCTTGCACCATGATAAAATCTGCCTACGCCTCCCCTTGCAAGAGGTTCCTGTGGAGTCTCGTCGTCGTCGCCTTCAAGAGTTCGTAGAAGCCTGGCTGGAGCTGTCTGATGGGTCCATGACACTTGTGCCTATATGTAAAAAGAGGGTTTTTATGGATGAGATATGTTTCTTAACGGCACCCAGTATGGATATAAACTGCATTACATCTATGGCACTCGTAGGCTTTTATCAACCTGTTGGAACCCTGAACGCAGTATGACTTTCGCCATCATATTTGTTGTGAGACAATGTGGCAGGACTTCTTTTCCTCTTTAAACTTTGGCACAGGCGTTAGGATGTCTTCGTATATTTCTTATTACCTGCGAAGCTCGACCAAGATCCATCGGGCATCAAAGAACCAGAGGCAGCAATAAAATGGCTATAGGGGGCACAGCCGTCGTATGAGCTCTGACAGTATAATACCTCCCATCTCTTCAGGAATATGCTCCTTAAAAGCATTTCGTAGTGAAAGGGCGGCCCGTATGTATACCCCAATATCTTTAGTTTTAAGACCTGGTCTTTTAGTATTTTTTTCCTTTATGCACCCCCCCCCCCTCATCTCCCTTATCTCCCTTGTCCTCATCCTCATCCTCATCCTCATCCTCGTACTCCTGCCCCTCTTCTTCCTCATTCTTATCTTCTTCCTGTACCTCCTCTTTAACTTTAAGCTGTCCCGACTTGTACAGTTCTAGCGCGAAATCAACCATATGCGGGCTAATTTTGGCACCCTTTTCAACTAGCATTTTGACTATGTCGCCATGACCACGCTCAATCGCACGATACAGGGGACTGTCATTTGCTGTATGCCGGGCATTGATATCGATAGTTTCCGCCTTGAGAAGCCTGTAAGCGCATTCGATGCTTCCACTCTGCGCCGCAAGCCATAAGGGAGTGAGGTGAGATCGTTCTTCAGCATTGACATCAGCCCCATACGCGATCAGGATCTCAACCACCTCTATACTGTTCTTCATACATGCATAATAAAGAGCGGTCCTATCAAAATAGTCCCTGGCGTCAACATTTGCCCCCGAAGCGAGAAGAGCCTTCGCAATTTCGGCTTTAGACTCTCGAGCAGCCCAGTGCAAGGTTGTTGAATCACCATCAGACAAAAAGGGCTCATTAGCATTGGCTCCACACTCGATAATCTTAGAAAGTGTTTTTAAGTGCCCACTAAAAGCTGCCAGATGCAATGCACTCCGGCCTTTCTGATCTTTCTCATTTATACTGAGGCGGAGTGGCGATAACACGCATGCTGCCTTCTTGAGCTGACAGGTGGATAGGAATCCTACCGAAGCTGTCCGTAACAAATTGATCCGCGCGCTGCCTAAGATGGGAGATCAACTCCTGAACTACACGTCCCGTGGTTTTGGCAGCGGCGCAGTGCAAAGGTGTTATCCCATCAACCCCTGCTATTTTGCGGACAACATACCCAGACTGCTGGCATGGGGGCTTTCAGTGATTCCCTTTTGCACTTCATCTGAGATTTGCTTCACAGCAGGTTTCCAGTATTTGACAAACGGCCGAGACCAGTCTTCATCCTTGTAGCCGAGATAGTACAGCGACGTATTGGACTGGTAAGGCGCGACGTTAACGGACGTCAAGTTTTCGGACAAGGTGTTGAGTGGAACAGGCGAGTAATGTTTTCCATCAGGAGGATTAGCTGCGACCTGCGCAAGGCAGGGTGATGCATAGGCGAGAATTGGGACAAGTTGGAACTTCATTGCTCTAGGGAGAGATGCGATGGGACAGCCTGATGGGAGGTAGTTCTTTAGTGATTGTATTCGAGATTTTGAGAAGATACGTAGCGGGGGAGCCTTTATATACTCCAGAGCTTCGCGTCGCAGCTCAACAGTGATTTGAATCCACCCATGAGTGAATCACAATCATCAACACGTCTCTCCTTGCTCGTTCCCGATTACTCACCGGTTGAACAGTAAAATCCGCCGAGATATCCACTGAAGTGTTCGAGTCAGGCAGGTCGCTTCACTTGGCCCCTCTGAGATCCACAGATGAGAGAACTTTAGCAGCATATTGAGTTCGTACCCATACGAAAACTACTATAAAAAGACAACTTTCTCCAGTATGAGAAACGACTACCAGGATATCTCACCTAACACGAATAGCAGAGCGCTCAAATCTCCACTACGATACATACCCGAGGGCGACTGCCGATATTCTATCTCCTCAGAAGACTAAACGCTTATGGGGACCGTGAGACTTGCGTCAGCTGTTTATGATAAATGGATCAGGCCCTTTGCAAAAAACCGGTACTTTAATTAACTAATAACACGACTGGAGATAAAAGTACTAGCAATTTACGTGTATATTCAAGGGGACTTTGCAAGAGGTAGATTTTTGGAATTCTGCTCATCACTGCTTTGCGAGAGTTAGCAAGTGGTACAAGCCCTGTTCTCCAGATGCTGTATCCGCAGAACAAACAACTTAGGACACATATTTCATCTGCCGCAAACTCACTAAGATAGTGTCTTATGTCACAGAGGACGGTAAGTTGGGCGAGAATTCCTTTATTCACGTGCGCCTTTATGCCTCAACAGTCGTCATAGTTAATAGATACTGGCCGCGGGATCCCGCGCAACGCTCCCCATGCTCGCTTTCCATCCCCGGGGCATTTCATCCACGCATATTCCGTCACAGATAACGAAACAATATCTTTAGAAGTCCCGCCTGAGGACTGTCTAGCCTCATGAGCAAAATCACCTAGTTGAGCGAGTAGACTAATTATATAGATAAATTATATACAGAGTAAAGGAATGTAACACAGATAGTATGTAAGTATGCTAAACAACTTCTTGGAATGTCACAGCGTCGAGGTTGGCTCCGACCTCGGCACAGCTGAATCCAAAAGTAATGCTAACATAGTCATGCTCAGACAGCATGTCCTCCGTAAACGTGCAAGTTGTATCAAGTGGAACCCAGTTGTTCACAGCGCCGCTAGGACTGCCCATTACGGTTGAGCCCGGAACACGATCGTAGTTGTTTGGGTCTCCAAGTGTACAACCAAGCGCGAGGGCATTGCATCCGTCGCCACTTACGCTATTAGTGTAGTAGTCGACGCGGATGGAGCCGGAGAGACGGTAAGAGGCTGCCTTGAGGTCCTTCGTGTCGATCTTTTGGTAGAAGTAGTTGTAGTATGCCTGACCACCATCGATTCCAAATTCGAGTCGTCCAGAGGCGGGGCCTTCCAAGGGATTGTTGGTGTCGCGGTAAACGGTCTCGGAGCGAGTCGATAGCCATGGCTCAGTAGTATCGAGATCGAAGCTGCTGTTGATGAGAACAGGTGTCGGGTCTGCATCGGCTACGGTGGTCGTGGTAGCAGTCTCGGTAGCGATTGTTGAGCTCTCGATAGAGGTGGCCTCTGTGGTCGCTTGAGTGGTAGTAATCACCATACTAGTCTCACTGCTGGTGGCAACCGTGGTAGTGTCGGTGTTGGGGATTACAGCGCCTGGCGTGAGCTCGACAGAGTCGAGGTAGGCACCCGAATTAGCACAGGCGAACCCAAACACGACGCTGATGTCGTCATCTGCAGCCAGCATCTCATCGGTGAAGTTACACGTCGTTTCTAACTGGGACCAGTCACTGGCGGAATCCTCAGCGCTTGCACGCAACAGCGAACCTGGTATGATGACCGAGCTATCTCCAGATCCCGTGAGGCAAGCAGCGATGATGCGACTACAGCCGTCGCCGCTCTGGCTATAGCTATCAACGCGGGTATAGCCTTGGAGTTCATATAAGCCCGCCTTGAGTGCTTTCTTATTGATCTTTTGGATAATAAGATTACCGTACTGGCTGCCTTGGACGTTGCCAAACTGGATTTTACCAGAGGCTGGGCTCTGGTAGCCGCTGCCAAGAGTCAAGGCATCTCCACGTTCCGTCTGCAACTGCCACGGGGCAGTTGTACCATCTTCGAAGCCAGCGTTGGTGAGGAGAGGCTCGTCGACTGCCGTGGTTGTGGTAGCACTCTCGGCAACAGTCGTTGATGGTTCAGTGGTGAGAGCCTCCGTGGTAGCATCAGTGGCCGTGGTCGCTGTCTCACTCTGAGTTACAGTCTCGCTCTCAGTAATCGCAGTGCTGGTCTCGACATAAGTGGAAGATCCAGCAGTTTCGGTGGCAGAGGTAGTGACGGCCTTTGTAAACGACGGCTTGCAGGGGCTTGCATTGGCCATCGAAGCCAAGGCTGCGAAAGCAGCAACAATCAATTTGTTGGAGACCATCTTGCGATGATCTCGATGGGCAAAATAAACGAGTGTGGGGGGTAAATAGAAATGAACGAATGGACCAAAGGCGAATCCAAGACAGGAGCGCAAATTGGGGGCGTTCACCCTTTTATTCTGTATTTTAAAATGAGGATGGGGGTCTAGACTCAATAGTTTGACCAAATGAGCCACCAAGACAGACTTCAGCTGCACTTAAGCATATTTTACAGTGTCGCTACTGGGTTGACTACAGTAGCGCCTCAATAGTCTCGAAAATTCACGACCGCCAAAACCAATAGTGTGTTTACTTAGCTGTTTCAAGAGGGACTTCACCAGTTGATTTAAGACTTCATTTACGGGGTGAGAAAGAAGAAAATCGTATAGGACTTAAAATATTCCCTAGACCATAACCCCTACGTCAGTTATCAAATTACCCGCCGTGCCTGATGGCTCACGGTTGTTGGCTGTCGGAGTGTAGTGATTACAGTGACCTCAGTACATATGAACGTCAGCGCAGGGTCTTATTGCCAGCGCATGGCCCTATGGGGCTTTGCTTCCCGCTCAATGGCCTGCAGGTGATAGGTAGCGCCCAAGAGCCAATAACCTTTGCATCTCAGGCGAAAACAAGTGAGACAGCATTGGAGAAATGCTAACGCCATTGGAAAGGAGAATTTCCACTTGAGGCATCTCTTTATCTTGTATTTATAAGGGCCTATAGCATCTTCGGAAATCAGCCCAACTCCCTCCTTCTCTGACAGATCTTCCCAACCAGCCCAGCGAGGTGCTATTTCATATCCTGTCAATGGTTTTTGACTCTTCCAATATGTTTTTGACGAGTCATCCTTGCTGCTGCCTCCATTAGAGAGCCTACATATTTAAGAGACTTGGATTCCTGGTGTTCGTGGCGGAAACTTGATGCTGTATCAATCGAGTCTTTCTTGCTATTAAATAAATCCTCACATACTTTCATCAATGACGTTTCGCATCGGTGCTAGCTCTATTTTGAGATGTCAGCCATTGACCTCGCATATAATCCGCACAGCGCCAGCTCCAAAGTTGACTACGGCCTCCCCAATACGCCCGAATTATTCTGAGGCGCAGAGCCTACCAAGACGCACCAGGGGAAGCGCAGAAAGAAGCGCAGACTACAAGCTTATCCTTGGGAAGATCTTGCAACAAAACTCAAGATTTCTCGAAAGCGACGTGGTCGACTTTAGGTTATACTCAGGCGTTGATATGCCGTCATGATAATTGCTAATACAGACCAGAGGACATGAGCACATGATTCCTGGTAGCGCACACAGAGCTTGTGTGGAAGTCCGTATTTTTCGAGGTTGCAAGCGGCTGACGTCGGCAAGGCTATACGAGAATGGGGAAATCTCGTACTCGAAGGAAAAGTACAACAAGACGCAACAATGAGTGCGTTCGGTGAATGTGACAGACAGCGCTGGACGCTGATATGTAACGGCAGGGGAGTTTGACTTATACTACATAACCGAATAACGATAACACGATCTGAGATCTGCGAGTTGGAGATTTGGTCGACGTATTTGTATGTGTCAGGCCATAGCATTACGAATGGTTGGGTATTCCTTAGTATTTGATCTTGCTACGCGATTGCAAGTCTGTGCAGTGTATATAACCTGTAGACTCTAGTACAATCAGTCAGTATCATACCAAGCATGTGTTGAAAGACAATGAATTATGCAGTGCGCCATTCAAATTACGACTTGGACAGATGCTAAGTTGAACCTTGGTAGCTGTGTAAGATGGCTACAAGACTAAGACAATATGGAGCTATGTCGCTCTATCCGTCCCTACTCATAACATGGTCTACTCCGTTAAGTAGATCGAACTTCTTGAACTGTCTCGCAGGAACACGCCTCTGGAAAAGGATGTCCAGCTCCTCAAACGTACGGCCGTGACTCTCGGGAAGCCTGAAGTAGCACCAGATAAGACACACAAGACTAATTCCACCAAAAAGGAAAGCCGTCTTACTCCCCCAATTGGCCTCATCAGTATTGAGCATTAAAGGCATGACGATCGTAAACACGACGGAGGCAGCAGCCTGCACTGCTGTAGCAACAGCAATGGTCTTTTCTCTAAGGCGGGTGGCTGAAATCTCGGAAATGATAACAAAGCAGATGGGACCGACAGTCATTTGGTACACGAAGGTCCAGATGTCCATCAGCGTGGCAGTAGCCCATATAGCACCAGTGGTGCTGGAGATACTGAGGAAGCCTATGATGAATAGGAGAGTCGTCATGACCATCATACCTGCATTGTAGATCGTGCGTCGACCAAGTTTGAACTACGTAATTCATGAGCTGATGCGTTGATGGATTATGGGGATAGGACTAGCGACGATACGTACCCAGTTCAGGAGGAACCATGAGAGGACTGTACCAGTAAAGCCCAGAGCGGTGTTACCAACACCCACTAGAGTACCAAGTCAGCATGTCTGTGGTTTTTGGCTTTTGAATCACGTACTGTTAAAAGCATCAGAAGGATTCAGGCCGGCCTTTTGGAAGAAGTATGTTGCATATCCAATAAGCGGATTGCCACCAATGACCTGGATTAGGTAGACCATAACCGAGATCTCAGTGCGAACCAAATTCGCACTCTTGAAGCACTCCAACCACGATGTGGACGACTCGATTTCTTGCTCCAAAAGATCTGTCTGTTCGATTCCCACAAGAGCCTTGTCGATATCGGGCCTGTTGGTGGTAGAGGACAGACCCATGAGCGCGGCACGTGCTGCCTCACGTCGGCCTTTGCGAACCAGCCAGTACGGACTTTCAGGGGCAAAGGGTAGACCAGCGAGAAGGATAGTGGGCCAGACCCATTGGATCGCAAAAGGGATTTTGTACGCCCACTCGTCCATACGGGTCTCTACGCCAGCCGCGCAGCCTTGGGCGATAAATTGGCCGATCACAGACGCCATGTTGATCGATGTGGTGAGGAAACCTCTCAGGGCCAGTGGGCACACTTCTGACGCATACGTCGGTGCAATGACGACGTAGAATCCATAGGCCAAGCCGCCGAGAATCTCGCCAGCACAGAGCATGCCAATGCTCGTGGAGAAGAACTGCACAAACACCAAGGCAATGGACCAGACGCAGCAGATAGCCAATGTCTTCTTTCGACCAAACATCTCGAGGGGATAACTACTGGCAAGTGCTCCAAGAACCTGGCCGATCGGATTCCCCATTCCCAAAGCTGTCTGCCAAGGTGCAGAAATTTCATAGCCGTCGCCGCCATGAACCCGCTCACCGTATTTTGTTTGGAATGCGGGTAGTGCATAGAAAGATGTGATGATCTGGGCATCAAAGCCAGCCATTATAACGGCGATGCCGAAGAAAAGAGCCCAGAAGACGGCCCATGGATACTGGCGAACGGCCTCACGGAAGCCAAGGTTGTGCTCTTCGACGGTGAGGTCGCGGGTGGCATCGATCTCAAGGAGCTCAGATCTTTTCAGGTCTGCCACGTCATGGTTATCTCTATTGGCTTCTTTGTCTGGGGTTGCCATTTTAAAGATGTAGTATAATGGAGATAGTGGGGGAGTCTGACAGCGGCAAGAGGAAGTGGTCCGCCCATGATGGCGAAGTACGGTGTTTAAGTATCTATTGAAGATCAGTACAACAGTAGGTATCTAGCTTGTTTAGCCTTATCACCTGTTCTGCGGGGACAAGCCTGGAGTATTGATACCGGTAGAACCCCGCAGACATGCGTGCGCACGCGATAGCATCTCATTTCCCTATCGATAAAATGTAACACGCCAATGCAACGTTTCTTGGCCCTTACGATAAGTAGTCAGTAGCTAGAGAAGGATCGCACTAAAATGCGGGGAAAGATAGCGGACAGGGTTTGCCGGCATTCGCACCGACCGTTTGCCGGCTATTGTGCCTGGACCCGGTTAGCTGGGCCTTGTTAGGATATCATCCATAAATGTGCAAGACTCCTTCTCGTTCATTGATACTCCCTATCGTGACGCTAGTCGGCAGAACAAGACAACCCAGCTCACCTAATCGACCCCTCTTACACTACAGCCTCCAGGTACAACACAAGATGGTTGCAATCGGCTCTCTCTCCGGCCCTCTATTCTCACCAGACCTTATTGGTACTGATGTTGTAACATCATTCCCTAAAGGTTACACTATTCGACCTCTGGAACGAGGGGATTATGCAAAGGGATTCCTTGACTGCCTCGGCGTACTGTCTGATGTAGGGGACGTCTCCCAGGATCGCTTCGAAGAGCGGTTTGATTGGATGAAGACACAAGGCCAAGGAGTGCATTACCACGTGGTTATCGAGCATGAGAACCGAGTTGTCGGGACGGGTGCTATTATCGTAGAGAGAAAGTTGTGAGTCTTCTAATTGGTGAAGAAGGTGCCTGCACTGTCTTGATGCTAACCTCGTTTCGGCAGTATTCACAATCTTGGATTAATTGGACATATCGAGGAAATCGCGATCAGGGAAGATTTCCAAGGCAAAGGCCTTGGTCTGAAGCTACTGGCCAGTCTTTCGTCTGTTGCTAAGAATGTCGGATGCTACAAGACGACTCTGGGGACCAGTCCGGAAAACGAGCCGTTCTATGTCAAATGTGGCTACAACAGGTCGGGCAACATCATGAACCAGTACTTCGAAGAGCCCAAGGAATCGTATTATCGGGGATAAGCCCGAGAAACCATCATTGTCAATAGTATAGTCGTAGCTACTCTGAAACGATGTTGATGATGATCTTGACTCAAACGAGCTAGCCACCGGTCTTTTCCCGATGTTTGCCGGTTCGCCGATTTATCGTTTCACCGACTTGAGGTTAATCGCTTGCAAATTGATAAGAGCCTATTGGGCCTTAATTAGTTTCTCAAACGTTGCATTTTCCATATCTGCAAATCACTAATGCGGGGAAAGCTGTTATCTGGTGTTTGAGTGGCTGTAGCGCAGCTGCAATGTAACAAGCTGCCAGAGCCGCGTAGCCGTGGTTGCGTATTAATAAATGAACCCTTGCTACGAAGCATCTAACGAAGCATCTTGACATGATAAAAGATAGCTTGCAATCAGTACGAAAGCCATTATCTGCAATCCAATCTTTGTCGGTATCTGTCTGCTAGTCCACCATGGCACCCCATGCTGAACAGGATGCGTCTGCTCATACCATCACTCGCCTTCCCCCACCAGAACGTCCCGCCTTTTCTGCCTCACCTCCACGTCTATTAATCATCGGCGCTGGGAACCGTGGCAAGGCTTATGCCGAGGCTGTCAGAAATTCGAGTAATGGCATTATCGTGGGCGTCGTAGAGCCTATCGCACTCAAGAGACGGCATTTCGGTCGCAAATACATCTGGGGTACACGGGAGCCAACTGCCGGGGAGGAGTTCCGCGACTGGCCAGAGTTTGTTCAATGGGAGCTAAGCCGGCGGCAAGCAGTCGCTTCTGGGTCTACAGATGTCCCTGAGGGTGTTGATGCAGTTTTCATTTGCGTCCAAGATGGTATGCATAAGGATGTTGTCCTTGGTCTCGCATCGCTGAAACTACACATCATGTGCGAGAAGCCTCTAGCCCCCAATCTGGAGGATTGTATGGCTATCTATAATAGCCTTTCTCCCGACCCCTCCGGATCCTCAGAAAAGCTGTTCGCTATCGGTCATGTCCTTCGTTACAGTCCTCACAACATAATGATGAGGAAACTTCTGCTTGAGGACAAGGTCATCGGAGACATCATGTCTGTTAATCACACAGAGCCGGTGGGCTGGTATCACTTTACACACAGTTACGTCAGGTAAGTTCCTGACTTATGCGTTTGTACAAGCGATAAAGACTGACGCCGTGCTAGAGGAAACTGGCGCAATGAAAAGGCGGCAGCCCCATCACTCCTTGCCAAGTCGTGCCACGACATAGACATCCTCTACTGGATTTTGGCAGCCCCACCTCCCGGTTCTAACAAGCCAACCCATGTCCCCAAAGACATAAGCTCTTCTGGATCCCTCCAATATTTCAGAAAGGAGAGAAAGCCTGTCGAAGCTGGGAACGCCACCAATTGCTTGTCATGTGCCTATGAGCCATCGTGCCAGTTTTCGGCCAAGAGAATCTACACAGGAGCTGATCTCAAGAGTCAGCAACAAGAGCACTTTTGCACCGTCGTCGCGCCGGAAATTGAAGACTGCATTCCAAATGGTGGGCCAGAAGCAGCTAAGAAGGCGATTCTCTCCAAACTTGCGGAGGATTACTCAGAGGACACGCCAGCAGATGAGATTAGCAAGAGAAACACGTTTGGACGTTGTGTATACGAATGTGACAATGATGTCTGCGACAACCAAGTTGTGACGCTTTCTTGGGACGCCGACCCAATCGCAGCCCCGGGCGAGACACCCCTGCAGGCTCTTAGTGGCAGAGGTAGCAAGACAGCTACATTGCATATGGTTGCGTTCACAGAAAAGATCTGTACCCGGTTCACACACATATACGGTGTCCACGGAGAGATGTACGCCGACAGTTTCTCAATTACAGTTACAGACTTCAGGACTTGCAAGAAGACTGTTCACTACCCACATATTCCTGAGGGCGGTGGTCATGGTGATGGAGACGAAGGGTTGACGAGGCAGTTCGTGCTGGCGGTTGATAGGGTAAAGAACCATGGTGAGAAGGTGTCAACGGCTCAGCGAGAGTACATCAAGTGCAATTTGAGGGATGTTATCATGAGCCATAGTATGGTATTCGCTGCTGAGGAGGCAAGGAAGGGAAAGAAAGTTATAGATTTTCCTGAGTGGTTTGAGAAGGAGGTCATGATAAAGCTAGGCGCGTAGATAATTCGAGTATAGCTGTGGGGCGAGGGCAATCCATATCTCGTTCCTCTATCCTCTCTAGCTTCCTAGCATTATCGAGATGTGCAGTCGTACTATATTAAAGTTTGAACGCACCATCGTGGTTTCAGCATATCAAGGCGATCTAACATGAAGTAAAGAAAGGGTATCGCTTGTGCTCTATCGAAGATGTAGCAAAGTTGCAATTGCTTCCTCCGCCTCACTTAGTTATGTTTGCCACTTGTATCCCACCTTTTTTCTTTTTTGAGACGACTTTGAGACCAGCTGTCTACCATACCACGAGGCATTGCAGACAAATAGCGTGTTAATTCCAAATGGGCTGCGCCTAACACAACCTGTGTTGCAGGTTCCATGGGCGGATAGACCTTGTTTCGGAGGTTGTCAGGTAGTTTCGACTTGATTTCCCGTAGCAAGTATTCCGATGTACAGTATTCTCCTGCAAGTATAAGTCCCTATCGAAAATTAGCACGCGATAAGATACAAGTGCTTGAACATACCTCAAGAACATTGCCAGTTTTGAAAACGTCACCTACTGCCTGAGCCATCATGATCGTAATTCCATCTATGACGGGCTGGAAACACGACAAGATTTCGTCATTTGTATAAGTCATGAAACCATTCTTGATCCCTGCATCGGGGAATTCCGTTTCAATTGCAACATCGACATCCCATTCTTGTCCGTTGTTTCTGAAATCGGGCAAGATGCGGTCCTCAAAATCTTCGATACACCTTCCATAGACCCTTCTGGCTATCCTGGAGCCATCTGGAAGCCGCATGTGCTTGACTTTGGTCCGCACCATTTCAGCAAACCTTTGTGCTGTGAGAGTAGGCCTAGGAACAGTTAGATAGTGTAGGGAAAAGTCGGAAGGAACTCACCCCTGGTTCTCATATGTCACAAGCCTAGAAACGAAGCAATGTGGTGCTAGTGGAAGCGCTGGAAGCTCACACACGGACACGTGTGCTATCTTCTTCCCAAAGCTCGCAAAGATATAGGTTTCTTGGCTGAGGGAATATCTCATTATCGCGTGCTTTATTGACGCCTCTGCTTCGCCGATGAATGACAAGCGTGTATCATTTTCGTCTCTAAGATAGCCAGCCCTTTGAAGAGCACGTTTCCATAACGTTTTGTCCCTATTTGCCCAGATCTCTGACAAAGTGATAATCCAATGGATTGTCTGCTCGTTGTTCAAGAATTTACTTCCTAGACGCTGCTGTAATTGGGTACGAAGCGCACGCCTGACCTCATAGAGAAAATCAGCTGAGACATCTACAGCGTTGAGGCCCGGAGGAACACCAGGTAGTGGAATATACTCTCCTGTCTCTTGAGTCAAGAGCAGAGGAAGACCTTCAACCTTCTGGACGCCTGGCTTCGGATCTCCAGTCGGCCCAAGGGCGTTAGCAGTGTCATGGCCCCAGCCAACTACTTTATTGTACTGATCGTAGTAAATAACAGTTGGAATCTAAGGAATTAGATAATATTCAGTGAGCTTTTAATGGATGACTTGCCGATGATCTGCTATAAGAGCCAGTACCAGGCCACTCTGTGAGCAGCTCTGATATCGGGTTCTCAAGGTCGTTGACTACGCATGCAACACTGGTACTCGCACCGTCTATATTCATGAAGTCGATTGACACAAATATCTGATATCTGGGCTCAGGCGTGGGCACAGGTGCCATGCTGTAGGGCGACAGTGATGTGGGGGATTGATAACCTTGTTGTTCATAGTTGTTGGCACCTTGCGTGGGTTGTGGATATGCTCTCGATGAATGAGGAGGAGGTGGCAGTGACAAAGCCATAGAAGCTGTTCTGTCACTGATCGGTCGAAACTTGAAGTAGTCTATGATAGTCTGCTGGTTTTGTTTGATAAGATCATCGGTCCAACCTATGGCTCGAAGACCCACGCCGATGTGGTCAGGCCAGTAGGAATCGAAATCGTACAGGAGTTCGAATCCAGACAGGCCATTATTGTGGCTATATGACAGGTTGGTGCTTCTCCTCGGTTGCTCTGGTTGTTGTTGATAGTATGGCCCCGTACTTTGAGGACGATGCATTATAGATAAGCTCGGGTTTGGGTGTCCGATAGCCTTTCGAGAGATAGTAGGATTTGAAGACGATTCTCCGTTTGACCTTGTTTGCCTTTGCTGTGTCGGATATTGAACTACGCCTTGATGACCACTCGGTGTTGGTGGACTTGTGTACTGAGAACCGAAGGTTTTGGGGTACTGGACTCTACCCGCGGATGGGAATGGACCAGGAGCTGCCGTAGTATATGGTTGACTGGGAGGATACTGTTGCTGAAAGGCTAAGGGCTGCTGGGTTTGTTGGACCATGTCACAATGTTACTTGGTCTGGTCAAGGCCCCAACTGAACGGTCCAGATAGGTCAATGCTTCAGGATCAATCGCAATAGTCTCGTAGTTCGGGATAAAGCTTCGGTGGACCTCTGCTTCCGCAGTCCTGTTTCTTGCTTTGCAGATGAACACAAGCAAAGTGAGAGTCTCCCAGCAGCTCAGGTTATCTTTGCCGAGAACTTTTCTCTTGCCCCAAAGAGCACGCTTGCAATACCTTTCAGCTTCCTCGAGTTTGGAGTCATCTACATAAGCAAGAGCCAACGCATGCATTCCGTGATACACGAGTATATCATTTGTCTTTCTCTCAAAAGCGATCGGAGTGATGATTTCGTCTGCTTCTGTCCACTTTTCCTGCCGCATGCATGCATATGCTAGTCGTATCTTCATAGCAGTGATGTCGATTACTGGCCTTGAACTCGATTCACCATGCTCGATGGCACCTCTGTAGAATTGTTCTGCCTTTGCGTGGTCTCCGTCCGCCTCATTCTTGATTGCTAGTTCTTCGAATCTTCTGGCAAACTCAGTCTCACTGTCCGAGTCGGCGTCAAGAGGGGAATGCGGCTCTTCATTGACTGGCGGAGGTATCCATCTCTCGATCTGTGATGTTTGTGCTTCCGTTAAAGGGTCACCCATAATGCTTCCTCCCCAAACAGTAGACCTAGGGCCCTCTCTCAGAATAGTACTGGCGCTTGAATGGAAGTTCTCTGCTACTTGAACAAACTGTCGGAGATTTTGGGTGGCGCGATCGTCCTCTTCACGTCCACCGGAAGGGCCAGGGCTTGCAGAGCTACTTGTATGTAAAGCAACCTCGACATTTCTCAGCTGGGACTTGAGCCCGGAGAGGACTTTGAACACAGAATCTTGAGAGGAGTTGCTATGAATTAGTAGGCAGCTATCTATGTTAGTAATCACTCTAGACCGCTAATACTATGACTGACATATTGAGCATCTGAAAAGCACTTGTCATTGCTGTGTTGTATGATTTGATTCTGTCTTTGTATATAGTGATATCTTTGGACCGCAAGCTAAACTTGATTTGCTTGGTTGGCTTGCGCAAGAACCCTCGGCTAAAGCGGTTTGTTTTCTCAAGCTCGGCCATTAGTCTTTTGAGCTTGTCGACTGTGCTCTGGATATCATTGAGGGTGGCACTAATACTACCCCAGAGGGCATTACCGGGATCGATCTCAGCTACGATAGCTTGCGGAACCCGACCGGAGGCATTGCTGACCGAGTCTAGGACTCGCGACAGAATCGAGACCTCCTCCAACAAATTAGAGACATTCTCGTCGACGTCGACAGTATCGTCTATCCAGGTGTAAAGCGTCTTGACTATCGTCGCGCAGCTGATGGCGAGGGCGGCGGCGCCTGACGTGATAGATAATGGGTCCATCGGAGACGATCTGTCGTCAAGGTTGAAAATGGAGCGAGTCACAGCTGAACTCTTGGTGCGGGGTGACATTATGTTCCAATTGGGGATGCCGCTTATGCAGGGTTGCATCCCAAAGAGGCAAACCGAGTTCCTGACTTGACTACTAACATCACTGAAGTCATATTTTTTACCTTGTAGCATTCAAAAAAACTACATTCTGTACTCTATAGTACTATACCTACAATCTTGCTATACTTTAAATGGTGCTGCAGTGATTTCTGTGTCTAACCTTGCGGTATGTCTCTTGATGATCGTGCTGCCTGGGAGTTCTAAATAAGTGGTTTCTCTTTTTAAATCATGATTTGCTAACGTCCATGATAAGCGAGTGTTACAAACACGTGAGTGTTACAAAAATCCCTCAACCTACAACATGTCTACGTCGTCAACTGTTTCTTCACCACCCAATATGCCTGAATTCAATAGTGAAGCTAATGTTATTCTCGCACTTCGTGCCCTTAAAAATGACCGAAAATTAACTCTCCGACGCGCCGCAAAGATCTATGAGGTTGATCCAATGAGACTATGGCGCCGACAGCAGGG